GGGACAGTTCTCAAATGTCTACAAAACCTCAAATATCTACACTGAAATTCTCCTAGGTGGTCTAGCAGTTGCCTTTAGAATGTCACATGACTTGAATGTGTGCTTCAGTCAAAATGTTAATTTAGTACCCTATTTCACGTGTGTGTATGTATCCAGGGACATAAAATTCAACACCCCCTCACCAATGGGGATCCAGTCCTGATGGAAGATCCCCTGGCACTGACTAGATGTGATGCTGGAAACGAACCTACTTCCTCGTCCGCAGATACCTGAGCCCGGGCCTCATAACTGGCAGGGCTCCTGCTGCTGGGTTAAACACACCCCGTTCTTCACGTGACCTTCAGACCCTCACCATCGAGGTCACCTTCCTCTAGACACCAACAAGTTAATTTCTGACCTTTATAAAGTCATCACCAGAAAAGGACACTGAGCAGAGTGGACCCTGGGCTCCTGTGATCCAAATGCCACAGGGTGGGGGTGATGGTAACGGTTAAGGACCCAGGTTCTAATCCCAGCTCTGCTACTTACTGGCTATGTAATCTTGGGCAAACTACTTAATCTCTCTGTGCCTCAGCCTCTCCATCTGTTAAATGGGAATATAGTCCCTGCTTCATGGAAGTTGTTGTAGGGATTGAGATAAAATTGTGCAACACTCATACCTACACCTGGTACATAATAAACTCCATATAAATGTCTATTTAAAAAAAGGCCTGTTTCAGGGCAGCCCCAGTTTGGTATTAGGTAGCTACTTCACACTGTGGTTCATTCAGGGCTCAGTGGGCCATTGAAACTCCCAGGTTTTTTTCTTTCACATAAACTTCTGTTCAGCAGGGCCACTCCATCACTTACTTTTTAAATTTACTCTTTGTACCTAAATGCAGAAGTAGACCTTCAACCCTACTGTGAGCTCAACATTCTAGTATTATTATCTCTTATCTAGATACAAAATGTCTCAAAGGATCTTACCAGATCTGTAGTTGCCACAGCTCTGATAAGTACCCCACCCTGTCTTTCTCCTGATGAGTGATACCAGGGAGCACAGGGACAGGGACAGAACCTTGGGTATGTCCACTCTTCCCAGGCCCTATCCTGACAGACAGCACAGGACTTTGTACTCTGCAAAGGCAAGACACACTGTAGATTGCCCACTGTGTGGTGGGATGTCAATGACTAAATTATTTGTAGGTCCCTAGTTTGACAACCTTTGTTTGTAAGATGTAAAGAGTGACAGCCACCTAGCTGTGAGGACTGAAGGAGATTCTGCTTTAGAAAACACCAAGCCATGTCACTGTCACAATGAAAACACTAAAAGATAAAAACATAAAGGATTCTGATTATCAAAGTACCTCTGGGGGCCTAGAGCAATGTGGAGGAAGAAGGCTGTATTTTCCAGAACATGCTGATGATACAATTTGCAACATAAAAGAAGGTGACCTCCTCTGTGGGCAGACTGGGGTTAACCTGGAAGGGTAAAAGGGGGCAGCCAGGGACAGTAGGCACACCCATGCAGAGGCAGCAGGATAAACAGAATAACACACCACACACACACACAAGTAAAACAAACTTAGCCCTGCACATATGATGCTCTCTGATGTTTTCTCTTCCCTTCTGCTGAATTTCAAGTTTTAGAAAATGATAGTGCATCTCACTACACTGATATCATTTTCCCAGTGAGCAAAACTCACATTTGGAAAACTAAGGATATGGCAGTAAGTTTCTAGAAGAGAGAGAAAAGTCAGTTTGGCATGAATTATTTCTGTATATCCTTTCCTCAGTGGTCTTGAGTTTTGTTAATAATTGGTTCTGAAATGTTGCCAGGATTCAGTGTTTCCCTCTTTTGATAAGTGTCCTGGCTCTGTCCTCGTCTGTCAAGCCAGCTTAAAGGTGACCGACTGCTGTCGCTGCTCTAGGGTGCCTGTGTTTGTGCACTGAGCAATGTGGGGCAGGTGTGGGCTTTAAGACCCTCTTAAAAGAGTGGGCTGGCCTTTCCATTTTGAGAAGAAAGACAGAAACTGGGAGCAACCCTGTCTTCTCCTGTCCCCTGTTAACACTGTCTCATCTCCCCTAAACACTGGATGATCTTCCCGACCAGAAGAATATCCTTATCGTGGGCCCCCTGCTCATGGCGGCTCCTTGCAGGCCGGGTCGCTTCCCAGCCTGGGTCCTGGTGATATGAGCCAGGAGATGAGGCGAAGCACCCCAGCCTCACACTCCTGGTTTCCAGACCCCCACTGGTAACTGGTGGCTTCAGGGGGAAAACTTATTTAACATCTCCACTTAATTTTCTTCACGTGTAAACTAGAAATACTACCACTTACCTCTGGGGTTTACATGATAATTAGTTTATTGAAGGGAGTTCCCTTCTTTTCCTGGGCTGACAGGGGCATGCCCCAAACTCCCTCTGCTGCTTTCACACCACTGTTCCCTTGTATTCAGAGTAAATCCAGAGATTTATTATCCGAGATTCCCTATGTCATCTAAAGCACTGCGGAAACCACAAAGCCTCAAAACAAGTTTCCAATAAGGAGACTGTCTTCTTCAACCACTTACACAAAAAGAATGGAAAAGGGGTAAAAAACGCAACATATTTCAGTAGAAAGACCTGCGCGCGGTCTCCCCCGTGCAAACCCAATGAATTACCTGCCAGAACAGGGCTCATTCTGCAGGGGGCGCTCGGGGCAGCCCGCGGCGCACTTCGCCCGGGCGCGCGGGGCCCCAGACGGGCTCGCAGAGGCCGGGCACCGGGCGGCTGGCCGGCCAAGGTGCGGAAAGTTTGCGGGCCGGGGAAGGTGCGAGCCGGACCACCGGGCGGAGAGGGGAACAGAGCCCAGAGCCCCGGCCCCGCGGACGCCCCGCCGCGGGACGCGCACCCCGGCGGCCGCGAAGAGGGTTTAACCTCGGAGGCTCTTCCCGGGGCCCCGCTCGACCCCGGGGCAAACCCGTTTCCCCTGCCCCTCCCTCCCCCCAGCCCCCCGAGCTCCAAGTTAAAGGCCACTCCCAGCGCGGTCGGCCCGACGGCCCCCGCCGGAGCTCCGGCCCTTACCTGCCGCCGTCCAGGCCCGGGGGCCGCGGGCTCCGGGGTCGCGGGCGCCGCTGCCGCCCGGTGGCTCCCGGCGCTGCGGTGCGGCGGGGACGCGCGCGCCCGACCCTCGCGGAGGCGGCGGAGGCGGGAGGCGCGGGCGCGGGGCGCCTCCCGGGGCCGAGAGCGCCGTGCCCGGCGGACGCGAGCTCTGCGGAGGGCCTCCTGCGCATGCCGCCCCCCGCGGCCTGAGCGAAGGCAGAAGGAATTTGGGGGAATGGTTTGCCCTTCCCGGCTCTGCAGTAGGTCCCCAGACCGACCTCCAGCAGCGGGAGCGCGGGCGCTGGGCAAGAGGAAGAGGGGCCGCACGAATGGCAAAATCCTCAGCTCTGTGGTCAAGTTCAGTAAGGCCGGGTCCTCCATCGTGTGCTCCGTTAATGAAGGAGCTTGCCTTCGAGCTAAGCTCAGGAGGCCCAGCTCCCCAGAAGCATGGTTCAACCAGGACCGTACTGCAGTGGGGCAAATGCGGCAAGCATGCAGGCTGGGGACAGTATGATTAACTCAGCCTCCTGGTGCCTGGAAAGAATTCCTGGAAATGATGTCTGATTCAGTGATTTTTTTTAAACAACTAGTTTAATCACTGCATGCAAAATTAAATACTTTGCAAGCCATCTTTACAGGTGTGTATATTCCACAGCCTCATCCACAGGCAATTTAATTCTCAGTGACCCAATTGGACCATCTGTGAGGAGATTCATCAGGCTTTCCCTAATTCTCCACATTGATTCCTGGTGCACATGCCTGTTTACAGGAATGCGATCCATCGTACATGCAGCAGAGCCCGTACCGCGTCAGCGGGGCATGAGGAAGCTGGTCAGAGCAAAGCAACACAACTGCTGCTGAGAGGCCACAGCCACCACAGGCCAGTCCCTGACTCAACTGTCAGGATCACGTGGCCTTTGCAGGGCAGAGTGCCAACCGCTCATGAGACAGAGAACAAGGGCACATTGTACTATGTGGAAAAGGCCACTAACCACCAGTGTCAGGAGCTGAAGCTGCAGCATCCTCTGGGGGCAGCTTGGTCAGTAAGGTGGCAGAGCTCCCGTTTCTCTCCAGGTACTTCTGCTTTCCCATGCTGTACCCATTCGCTTCTTCCCTCCCCTGATGCCAGTGACCATCCCACCTTTCCTTAAAGGTTCTTCTCAAATGCCACTTTTTTTCAGGAAGCCTTATGCACTGACCCAGTGCAGAACTTTGGTTCTAAAATCTGATACCTCTCTTATAGCACCTGTCTTCTCGGTAAACTCTAAAACAGGCTCTTCCTACTCCTCCATGGCCTGCAGTATACTTAATTTCTCCACAGGTCTTAGCATAATACCTTGAACGCAGTGGACCCATAATGAGTATTTTGTTATTGTTTTTTTTTATGTTTACTAGGCTCTCCCCTACCCCAAGGCCCCCCACAAACCCCATTACAGTCACTATCCGTCAGCATAGTAAGATGTTGTAGAACCACTACTTGTCTTCTCTGTGTTGCGAAGTCCTCCCCTTTCCCCCACCCCCACATTATACATGCTAATCATAATACCCCCTTTCTTCTTCCCTGCCCTTATCCCTCCATACCCTCCCATTCTCCGCAGTCTTTTTCCCTTTGGTAACTGTTAGTCCATTCTTGGGTTCTGTGATTCTGCTGCTGTTTTGTTCCTTCAGTTTTTCTTTTTTCTTATACTCCACAGATGAGTGAAATCATTTAGTATTTGTTTTTCTCTGCTTGGCTTATTTCACTGAGCATTTCACTCGAGCTCCATCCATGTTGTTGCAAATGGTAGGATTTGTTTTCTTCTTATGGCTGAATAATATTCCATTGTGTATATGTACCACATCTTCTTTATCCATTCATCTACTGATGGACACTTATAAGAGCAAAGGCAGAAGGAATTTGGGAGGATGGTTTGCCCTTCCGGCTCTGCAGTAGGTCCCCAGACCGACCTCCGGAAGCAGGAGCGCGGGCGCTGGGCGAGAGGAAGTGGGGCCGCGCGGATGGCAAAATCCTCAGCTCTGGGGTCAAGTTCAGTAAGGCCGGGTCCTCCATCGCGTGCTGCTAAAATCGCTACCTCAATTTCGATTCCTCCTCCTGTCTTCGGGTACAGGTGCTAACGGAGAATCAGATGGCCCAGAGAATGTTGGCGGGGGTGCAGTTTTCAGCGGGGTGTTTGGAGATGGCGCCGCAGCGAAGAAGGGACTGAAGACGGGAGAGCAAGTCAAGCGGCGTCTGAGGGGAAGCACTGCTGCCTTCCAGACACTGAGATGTTCTTCCTTGTAGGGGCCAGTTCTTCCACGATTCGCAGGCACCTTATCAGGCAGAATTAGTACTATTTCTACGGTACGGGTGAGGAGACTGCAGCTTAGAGAGGTTAAAAGGATTGTCCAAGGTCGCAGATCCGTTAAGGAAGGAGCTTGCCTTCCAGCTCAGGAGGCCTAGCTCCTCAGAAGCATAGTTCAACCAGGACGGTACTGCAGTGGGGCAAATGCGGCATTAGCAGCAGGCATGCAGGCTGGGGACGGTATGATTAACTCAGCCTCCTGGTGCCTGGAAAGAATTCCTAGAAATGATGTCTGATTCAGTGATTTTTTTTAAAACAGCTAGTTTAATCACTGCATGCAAAATAAAATACTTTGCAAGCCATCTTTACAGCTGTGTATATTTTCCACAGCCTCATCCACAGGCAATTTAATTCTCAGTGACCCATTTGGACCATCTGTGAGGAGATTCACTGGGTCTTCCCTAATTCTCCACATTGATTCCTGGCGCACATGCCTGTTTACAGGAATGCGATCCATCGTGCATGTAGCAGAGTCCATACCGCATCAGCGTGGCATGGGGAAGCTGGTCAGAGCAAAGCAGCACAACTGCTGCTGAGAGGCCACAGCCACCACAGGCCAGTCCCTGACTCAGCTGTCAGGATCACATGGCTTTTGCAGGGCAGAGTGCCAACTGCTCATGAGGCAGAGAACAAGGGCACATTGTACTATGTGGAAAAGGCCACTAACCACCAGTGTCAGGAGCTGAAGCTGCAGCATCCTCTGGGAGCAGCTTGGTCAGTAAGGTGGCAGAGCTCCTGTTTCTCTGCAGGTACCTCTGCTTTCCCGTGCTGCATCCATTCGCTTCTTCCCTCCCCTGATGCCAGCGACCTTCCTACCTTTCCTTCAAGGCTCTTCTCAAATGCCACTTTTTTTCAGGAAGCCTTATGCACTGACCCAGTGCAGAACTTTCGTTCTAAAATCGGATACCTCTCTTTCAGCACCTGTCCTCTGGGTAAACTCTAAAACAGGCTCTTCCTACTCCTCCATGGCCTGCAGTATACTTAATTTCTCCACAGGTCTTAGCGTAATACCTTGAACCCAGTGGACCCTTAATGAGTATTTTGTTATTGTTATTATTAGTAAATTAATCTATAAGAACACAGCTTCATTGTCCCTTAATTTTGTCTTTTCATTCAAAATACCAGTCAAGCTCATAGAAATTTAGTGATAGGACTGATGTATATGTAGCTATATATGTCAGTATAAATTGACATCAGTTTACTTTGAGGTAATTCTGAAACTGAATAACTGGGGTTTAAGAGTGATTTCCCCAGGTCATAATACTAATCATTGACAGAGCCAAGATTTAAGCCCAAGACTGACTCCAAAGTGCACACATTCAACCACAGCACTGCTGCCCCCTCGATCATGCATGCCTTCATCTGAGATCCAGAAAATACTACGGTTACTCAGCTATGCGCCAGGCATTGTGAAGATAGCAACAATTAAAACAGAGTTCTTGGAGAATTGGAGGAGGGTCGACAAAAGATAACAAATTTCCAGTTATAAAACACAGAAGTTCTAGGGATGCAGTGTACAACATGACAACAATAGCAAACATTATTGTATGATATATAGGAAAGTTGTTATGAGAATTAATCCTATGAGTTTTCCTCATAAGCAAAACCTCTTTTCATTCTTTGTCTTCTTATTGTATCTGTATGGGATGATGGGCACTAACTAAGCTTGTGGTAATCATTTCACAATATATGTGAGTCAAACCATTATACTGCAATGCCTTAAACTTAACCCAAGTGATGCATGTCAATTACGTCTCAATAAAACTGAGAGAAAATACAGTTTTTGCCCTCAAAACTGCTTGCAATCTAGTAGAAGGAATAGGTAAATTAGGAAATAATCAGACTTAAGTGTTTTATGTTTTATAAAAGAGATACATAGGGACCCTAAAGAAACACTTTGTTTTGCCTTATATAATAACAGTAAGGATTCCCTGAGAAGCTAGAATGTAATTTTAATTTTGAAGGACACAGAGTAGCTTGCTACAATGATAATCAAGAAAAGTATATGGTAGGCAAAGTGAAGAACATTGACAAAAATGTGGAAGCATGGAATGCATTAAGAATGCCGGCTGTGATTCATGAAGTTTTTGTCCCAGAGCAGCCAGATATGGATCCCTGCTTTCCACAAGCAGCCAGAATCTCAGTCTCCCCAGGAGCTCTGCCTGTATTAACTTTCCAACCCGGTAGTCATGCGAGTCTCATGAAAGCACGGTGAAATGTAGGTTTGTGCTCCTAGCACAGATCTCCGGAGCTAGGTATTCAGCAGTCACAAGCCTTCCACTCCCTCCCTGCTCCATTTGTCTTCCTCCTGCTGGTGAGCTAGGGTGGGGGAGGGGCTTGGGTCCCGCAGAGCCACAGCTTTGGTACGTTACCCCGTTCGTTGAGGTCTGCTCTTTTCTCCAGGTGTGTGCAGTCTGATGCATCCTCTTTCTTATTGCTCTCTCAGGATTAGTTGCACCAATTAAATTTTCTGTTTGTATTATCCAGTTTTAGGAGGAAGCCTCTGTCTCTCCTCTCATGCTGCCATCTTTTTCTGTTATTGTTTTTATTAATAAATTAATCTGTAAGAACACAGCTTCATTGTCCCTTAATTTTGTCTTTTCATTCAAAATACCAGTCAAGCTCATAGATATTTAGTGATAGGACTGACTTATATGTAGCTATATATGTCTGTATAAATTGACATCAGTGTACTTTGAGGTAATTCTGAAACTGAAAAACTGGGGTTTAAGAGTGATTTCCCCAGGTCATAATACTGGTCATTGACAGAGCCAAGATTTAAGCCCAAGACTGACTCCAAAGTGCACACATTCAACCACAGCACTGCTGCCCCCTTGATCATGCATGCCTTCATCTGAGATCCAGCAAATACTTACAGTTACTCAGCTCTGCACCAGGCATTGTGAAGAAAGCAACAATTAAAACACAGTTCTTGGAGAACTGGAGGAGGGTCATCAAAAGATACAAACTTCCAAAACACAGAAGTACTAGGAATGCAGTGTACAACATGACAACGATAGCAGACATTATTGTATGATAAATAGGAAAGTTGTTAAGAGTTAATCCCATGAGTTTTCTTCATAAGGAAAACCTCTTTTCATTCTTTGTCTTCTTATTGTATCTGTATGGGATGATGGGTGCTAACTAAGCTTATGGAAATCATTTCACAATATGCGTGAGTCAAACCATTATGCTGCAATGCCTTAAACTTACCCAAGTGATGCATGTCAATTACGTCTCAATAAAACTGGGAGAAAATACAGTTTTTGCCCTCAAAACTGCTTGAAATCTAGTAGAGGGAACAGGCAAATTGGAAAATAATCAGACTTAAGTGTTTTAAGTCTTATAAAAGAGATACATAGGGACCTTAAAGAAACACTTTGTTTGCCTTATATAAAAACAGTAAGGATTCCCTGAGAAGCTAGAATGTAACTTTAATTTTGAAGGATACAGAGTAGCTTGCTATAATGATAATGAAGAAAAGTATGTGGTAGGCAAAGTGAAGAACATATACAAAAATGTGAAAGCATGGAATGCATTAAGAATGCCTGCCGTGATTCATGCGGGTCACAGTGAGGTGACTGTGGCCCAGAGATGAGGCTGGGAAGGGAAGCAGAGCCAAACTCCAAGTCACTCATGGGTCAGCTTCACGGAGTCTATTACACCTTGAAAATGTATGAAATCACGTCTACATACGTGAACTTTTCAGGGGACAGGTTTGATAACTTTAGTCAAATTCCCAGAGGAGCCAGGTGACCCAAGGCCAGGAGGGAGGTGCAGAAGTCAGTTTCCCTTGCCATGGCCTGCTGCCCAATCCATGAGCCAGGTGAAACATCAGCTAGGATGTGCTGCAACCTGGATTGGTGCTAGGTGCAAGGCTCACCCCTGCCAAACACCTTCAAATGTGCAGTGGCACAGCCAGCCCTGGGCAGGGATAGCTGGACCCTGATTCTCTCAGCACCTGCATCTTCACCCGTTGAGGGCAGAAGAATGGAGTAGCTGGGCAGCTGACAGGCCAGAAGGTGGGGAGCTGGCAGATGAGAAAATTCTCTAGGGAGACAGCAGAGTGAGCCAAGATGCTCAGTGCATGCCCCACTGTTCAAAGACTCCCCTTACTGTTACAGGCTGAATTGTGTCCCCACACCTTCCTATGTTGGAGCTCTAACCCCTAGTACCTCAGAATGTGTCCCTTTGGAGACAGGGACTCCTTATGAGGCCCTATGTCCTTATGAGAAGGGGAGATAAAGACACACACAGACTTGTGCACACATAGGGCTGAGCACATGAAGACACGCCCAGAGAGTAATCCACAATCCACGGAGAGGCCGTACAGGGGTTAACCCTGCTGGCACCCGGATCTTGGACTCCAGTCTCTAGAATGGTAGGAAAATAAATTTCTGTTGTTTAAGCCATCTAGTTTGTGATACTTTGTTATGGCAGCCCTAGAAAACTCAGATTTATAAAATGTCAATTCAAAATTCAAAAACAAAAATTTTAAGAAATTCACTATGGGGACCACAGAGCATTAAATCTCAAATGAGAGTTCTCCTAGGCATGGAGTCCTAAGCCACTGCACTGACCACATGCCCATGAAGCCAGGTCTTGAGAATATGGAAGTGGCAATCTGCAGAAAATTTGGGATCTGTCTGTGGAAAGGTGTGGCTAAAGCTGTGGGAATGGGTGAGATCAGTCCCTGGGAACATAAAGTGAAAAGACAAAAGAAATGATGGCTAATGTCCGAAGTTCAGAACACAAACCCAGAAAGAGGAGAGAAAGAACAGCCAGAGAAACAGGAGGTGCACAGGAGAAGGTGGAACCTGATGGGAAATGGGCAGCAGTGTCAAAGCCGAGACCATGTGAGGAAGAACTGATGCCTGTGGGTCTTTGCACGGAGGTCATGCAGTGGGAGCCAAGGCCACATAACTGCTGGGAAGGAGTCCAGACTGTGATCACAGGCTGCTGTCCAAAGAGGCTGGGGACGGGAAGTGGGTGCGACTGC